CCTACAACTGGTCGAGTTGACCTAGAATTAGCATTTTACTCAATAATTCCTTTTAAAGATTTCAGATGTTACACCGTCATCTTCCTCATATGCAAATACTCCTAAGCCAACCTCTCCCTCTCCACCAGGGAAACATAACTTGTGCAAAACATCTCTCAGAACTGCTCCTAAATAATAGCAATCCACTGCTCAGGAGTGTAGGAACCGGTTACCATGTTCCACCAGTCCTTCACACCTAGTCGAAGAAGGTTCACAACGCACCTCGTAACAACCCAAAGTCTCTTCTCTTGTGAAGTTACTATTTCATTAAGTAGTGTTAAGCTTTACGTGCGTTTATGTCGTCACATTATGTCTTAGCAAAATTAATAAAATCTTGTGGGGTCATGTTGTTAATGTTGCAAACTGTGTATGACTAATAATACCTAATAATAGGTGAGGGTTAAAAATAATTCAATTAAAAGTAGAAGGTATTTATTGACAAAAATGCTAGATGGAGGACCATGAAAGATTTTTTTTAAATGTAGGATGGAGGACCAAGTGCTGCATTTTAGGATGTGTATTCCGACCATATGTCATTGGGGGTAAGATTCTTTAGCCTTATGTGTGGCAATAACCATGAGAGAAAGAGAGGCATGGAGAGACTCGGTTTCCTTTCCGGTGTGAGGTTGAATCATTATTAAAAAATTAGTCAATAAGTTTACAATGGCTCCTACAGTGTTTGTTTTGTGGAAACTAAGAAGCATGAGAAAGACGGATGAAAGGAAGGGATTAGTGGAATTTGTTCAAGATTCGAGTATCACGCTTGGCGGTGGATTTCCAAGTCATGACTTTGTTCTTGTTCATCCATACAAGAATTTTGACATGGAAAAAGAGGACCAACAAGGTCAATCATGGGATGGAACCATACAATGTAAATGTAATAGGAGACGTACCATTCACCAAAAGAAATGAGGTCAATACCAACGACCTTATTAGCGGCAAAATAGAGCTTTAGCGGCAACTCAAGCTTAAGTTATCGCTAAAGCTACATATCGCCAATAATTGGTCGTTAGTAATTCTATACGATCTGAATCCATGGTTACCCCTTCTGGTAAATCTCAACCGTCCGATCAACGTTTTAATCCAATGTCTTGGGGCTCTTCTTACACAATTTTAATACCGGCGACATTTTGTCGCCGCTAATGAGTAAAATTATTGTCGTTTAAGGTCGTAAAAATAAAAGAAATGGGATAAATTCCTTCCTTTGGTGTCGCCATTAATATTGAATTGTCGCCGGTAAAAACCTTTCGTCGCCACCATTTAGTGTCGCTAGTAAAGGTTGACGAAATAAGACCTGGATATCCCTTTCTTTCTTCCAGATTCCTTCATGTTCCTTCTGATTCACTACTTTCTTTCTTTCTTCGAGCTTCAACCAGCGATCGATGTTCTCCCTTCATCGTCCTTCAACCACCGGCCAACCACCACAACCAGTGCTTGCCACCTAATTTCAGCGACGGGTCGACTACTACCAATGATTTTAAGGCTTCTTCGCCGAAGTTGAGCATCCCTTTAATTATTTCTCTATTTCTTTCTCTTCTAACTTCAATATTCAGCTTATATCCGACATTAAATTTCTGAAAAATGATATTTTCACTTTTTACGATCACCATCATTGATTTTTAGACACCATAGGTACCTTTCTCCTTTAATTTCGAGACTATTTGCAAAAAAAATATGTATTTGTGCCTATTATATGAAATTAACCATATTTGTGTGTATTTGGTGTTTTTATGTATGAAATGTAGATCGTATGTATGAAAAGTGTATTTGTATGTATGTATAAAACATGTATTTTTATATATATGTAAGAAATATGGAATGTATGTATCTGTGTATTTGTATGTATGTAAAGTGTATTTGTATGTATGTACAAATTGTGTATTTCTATGTAAGATATGTCGAATGTATGTATATGTGTATTTGCATGTATATATGTGTATAATGTGTATTGTATGTATGAAATGTATATATTTGAATGATATAGTAGAAAAAGAACAAATAAAATAAAATGTTATTATTGATAATGCTATTTCAAGTATATGTGTATAATGTGTATTTGTATGAATGAAAACATACATTATATATGTATATTTGAATTTGCATAAAATTTGTATGTAATATGGATTGTATGTAATTTTTGTAAAAAAAAAAAATTAAAAAAAAAACGTGCATTTAAAAAATAATAATAATAAAGTAGGATGCTATATCAGAGGTGAACGACGTGGTTAAATCAGAGGCATCAGCCGAAACCTTCTATTATTTCATCGATTGCGTAGTCATCACAACCATCATCACAATCAACACAACCATCATAGGTAAAACAAGATTATTTAATTTCAATAAGAACATGTTGATTTGTAATTGTATTTATGTTTTAATGAAAGAAATACCAATTTACTTTCGTTTTTTGTTCCTAGTATAAAAAAAAAATGTACTTTGGCATGTATGTTGATATGGTTTGATTAGTTTATATATGCTGTTATTTGTTATCTAGTTGGAATGTCTTCGGATAATGTTCAACGATTCGACATGTAGGGATTAACTTTATGCGTTTTTTCAATCGGAGAAATATTAATGAGAAACGACGGGAACGGAAGTGATGGTGCGGCGGATAATTAGTTGGTCTTTGGTATTTGAGACTTGTTGAGACACTTTAGTACCGCTGTGTTATAATTATAAAACTTTGATTGTTTATTTTTGTATGAAATTAATTATATATAATGTCGTTACACTATTTGGTATCTAATCCGATATTATATAAATTTCTTTTCTACATTTAGTGTACTTATATATCGATTTTTTTTGCACCGAAATCGTTGATTAAAAAAAAACTTAAAAATGAAAAATATTATTATCGGCAACATTATTACCGGCGACAAGATGATTTACCGGCAACATGACCATTAGCAGCGACATAGAAATTAGCGGCAACATTTTGATTAATATTCATTGGGCGGTAGCGACGACTTTTTACTGCAAATGTGTCGCTACTATAACCTTTACCGGAAAATTTCATAGTCTCTACCCGAAACTTTTGTGGCTGCTATTTAATTTTTTTTTTTCTTGTAGTGATTTTATATATCTTGGTTAATTATTTGATTTATTTTAGACGCAAGGTGGCGCATTCTCATAATTAAATAAATATAAGAAGTGTTTTTAGAACTTTTCGTTGCCACGATAGGGTGGGGAATTTATTTTTATTAAGGTAATTAAAATTAAACTAACTGTTCACCAAAACTGCTCGATTATTTTGATCACATAATTCAAGTTTTTAAAAACATTTCTATTTTATGACGATGAGAAGATAAATCAAGTTAAACAATGTGATATATAATAATATTAAGAAATAACAAAGTGTAAATAAACGTCTCTCATATTGTGTTGTTTTAAAGAGTTAAATATATAAATAATGTTATTTAAATAATTGATTAACCAATTAGGTTATGACAAAATAATCTAGGTATAATGTTATATAATATTTAAGTTATTAAGCGTTCATCCTAAACTATACGTCATCACCATCATGTTTAGGTATTCTAGAAGACTCGACGAGACACGCTCTTCTGGAGCATGCGACATGTCGTTGCAACATAATTGTTTTACTTTGTTGTTTTGTGCTTGTTTTCTGATGGGGCTTTCATGCAACTTTTTATGGTGTTTTGTTTGGCAGATGGATTGTTGGTCTTCTTGTTCGTTGATATGTATTCTTGAGTTAGAGGTGAATTAATCTTGTAGATTTTTAAAGTACTTTGTTAGGAAATTTTATATCTTTGATAGATTGGAGTGAACCTAGAATATTTAGCTTGCATATGCCCCTATTATATGTGGTGTTTTTGGTTACTATGTTCCCTTACGGGTTGTGAATTTAAAAATATAAACCAATTTGTTACCTTTATGGATCATTTCCTAGAAGATATATATAAAGCTAATTGGAATCAACAGTGGAATGGTTGGTGTAACCAATATTCTTTTTCTTTTCCTAAAAGTATCCAAGGGCCCGCTCTTGCAAATTGATTGGAAAACGGTGTTATTGTTACAAAAAGTTTCATTTCGATCCAATTGTGGAATGTTGACAACACTACAACAATCGGACCGTAGACATGACAAATTCAGACCCTATCCAGACAACAAGTCGTCGGTATAGGGTATGGCAACGACAAGTCGTTGGGAAAGAGTCGTCGGCACAGGCGTATCGGCATAGGTCTCTTAAGTCGTCGGCATAGATATCGTCTGTATAACGTGCTCTATTGCGACAACATGCCGTCGGTATAGATTTTTTCAACAATACTTTCGGGTGAAAAAAATAAAGTTTTATTAAAACCCTTTGGCGACAACTAGTCGTCGCAACAGGTTGAAGCTATTACGACGCCATGTTGTCGCTATAGGGTTTTATCAGTTAACGGTTATGGTCCTATAGTGACGACTTCTCGTCGGGATAGCTACTGGTTATTTTTTTAAACTTTATAGGTTCTGTACATTACACATTTTTAATAAATCCAAAAAACATTATAGCATATATCAATTGAAATACATTAACTAGGTACCTATATTTTACTTTTCAAACACATGGATTAAAAATAAATGGAAACTATATTTTTTAGTACCTATACCGACGACAAGTTATCGGTATTAAATTTAAGAATACCATCATTATTTTCATCGTTTCCAAGAGAGTTTTGGACAGGCATAGGGGTCCTAGTCAAATTAAGTTAGTCAAAGTTCGCAAAACCTATGACGATGACAAGTCGTCAGCGTAGGGGTACTTTTAGCGACGACATTTGTCGTCGGGATAAGTGTCGTCTGCATAGGTCGGTTTCCTTGTAGCGCAACTACTACTATGATAGTATGATTTATTGCACAGAGTGGATACATTTAACACCACCTAATTATATGATTAATATAATTCATATATGGTAACATTAACTAACAAGTAGGAACGCAAAACAACCACCAGATGTCTCTTACGAAAGATCTCTCATCTGGCTAAACCCTGTTTCCGAATATAACCCTACATGACTACTGTCAGTCGACGACATGCCATGTCGCATAAACCATCGACTTGATCCTTCAGACGTTGTTGTTGACTCTCCTTGCAAAGGAAACAAAAGCTCTTGTTTTTCCAACACAAACTCACCAACTATGCCACCTGTTTTCTCAGCAGCTTCTTGTAGCTGCAATGCAAACTCTAGTCCCCACACTACTTCATCCATGGATGGACGTTTGCTCCCTTTTTCTTCTAAACAACTATTCGCCACCTCTGCAAACTTCATGAAACACTTTGGTGCAATTTCACCACTTAGTTTTGGATCAATTATGTCATGCAGTGTGCCTTTTCGACAATTCGACTTTCCCCATTCTGCCAAACTGACTTCTTCGTAAGGAAGGTCTATATTTATAGCAGGTCTTGCGCATAAAACTTCTAGCAAAACGACTCCAAAGGAGTACACGTCGGATTTCTCCGTGAGTTGTTGCATTCGAAAATAATCAGGATCCATATATCCGAAAGTACCCTTCACCGTTGTGCTAACATGGTTTTGCCTTTCGTCTTTTGGTCCTAGCTTTGACAAACCAAAATCTGACACTTTCGCCACCCAATTTTCATCCAATAAAATATTTGTCGACTTGATATCCCGATGAATTATCACACGGTTTGCACCGGTGTGGAGATAATGCAACCCTTTGGCTGCACCAATGCAAATATCGAGACGTTTTTTCCATGTCAAACGAGGGTTGTTTGTGTTGTAAAGATGTTCCCGTAGAGTTCCATGTGGCATGTAATCGTACACAAGTACCATTTCTTCCTCATCATCACAATATCCGATTAGTGGCACCAGGTTAACATGGCGTAGTTTGGATAGCATCCCGATTTCTGTTTGGAATTCTTGAAAACCTTGTTTGGATGATGACTTCAGCCGTTTGATAGCAACCACAGTGGTAGCATTGTCGATGTATCCTTTGTAAACCATACCAAACCCTCCTTTGCCGATAATACACTCTTCATTGAATTCATTGGTTGCATCTTTTACTTCCTTGACTGAAAAACGACGACACCGACCCGATCGCAGCTGCCCAGAATTTTTAGATTTTGGTTCACCTGATGACTTTTCAATAACTCTGGTTCGAATTCGCCGGAAAACTATAAAACCTAAAGCAGATAACAAGACTAATCCACCCCCACCACCTCCGATTATTGCAGCATATGGTGGAGTTTTCTTTGTCGTCACTTCTCCGGGAGACGACGGCCTTGGCGGTGGTGGTGTAGGACTTAGCTCCGGGTTGGGGCTAGCTAGACTACCAGCCATGCTCATCTTGAACACTTCCAAACCATTCAAAAAACCATCTTGATATTCTAGAGATTCTTCATTAGGATGCAATGCGAGCCACAAATCTTGCTTGCTGCGCTGGCCTTCTGGGTTGCCGACAAACACAACGTAATCCTTGAATACCGGATAACCGCTGCCTGGAGTCCAGAAGAACAGATCAGCTTTGTCTTCAGCAGTTTGATTATTGATGAAGATCGTAAAAATCATCTGCCTTTCAAACGTGTATTGTGGTATAATGCTGCAAAAATGGAGCCTGAGCATGTACCAAAATCCTAAATCAACGGGAAGTATCCAGGTCAGATAGTAGTAGCTCGACAGTGTGCCCATACTCCTTTGGGTTTGATAAACAAGCTCAGGTGCGGTGTAATTGGGTGTGTCCGTGGTGTACCTGATCGGAATCTGAGTAGTAGGCGTAAACCCCATCGCATTTCGGGGGAATAGGTAATGTTCATCTCCATCCCATGATCTATACATACCGGTATCATCGTTGACGGATATTTGTCGCCCACCGACGTTTAACCGATAAATACTCTCGAGAGCCATGTCTTTTGCAATCACAGGTCCTGTAATTTGACCGACGTATTTCAAATTCTTTGTTTTAAAATACAGAGTTTCCGGTAATGAAACGATTTCAATACCATTAATGAAGGCGTAAGAGTTGGGCGAGGGTGTAAAGGTGACGTTAAGGTTTTGGGTGTCGTTTACATATATGATAAATTCTTTAATAAGTTGGGGAGCTGAGGGTCCCTGGACTCCTGCATTTGAGAGAATACTTCCTACATAGGATGAAGTTAAGAAGGCGCTGAAGTTTGATAAGAGAGAGTGACCATTGGATGATACAGAGAAGAAAGACTGGTTTGCGTTGAGGTGGGAATAGGTTGCAGGGTAGAAATAAAGGCGGAGGAATTTAGGCCCGTGGTTCACTGGAAATGAGTATGTGAATGAAGACGTGTTAAAGATTCTGGCGGTGGAGTACGGGATTTCGGGGACTGAAGGATCGTGGTGGTCGGGGGTGGATGGGAAGGAGGTGGTGGTCATGTTGTAGGGTACGAATTTCGAATGTTCGTCAGTTTGCCATAACCGATCAGAAGTGGTTGTGGTGGTGGTTGATCCGCAGTTGAGTAGGAAATAGTCGGTGGGTTTGTATGGTTGGGAGGTGGTGGTGGTGGTGGTGAACAGTAGGAGCAAAGAAAAGAGGGGTGAAGCGAAGGCCAACATGACTTTAGTTGTCTGCTTATGGAGGTCTCTCTATTAATTATTAGTTTTTATAAATCATAAAAGTAGTTATACAATTAAAAGGGTTGTTGACTCAACTTTGAAAAGTCTTGGTATTGCCACCTCTAAATCACTATTAGCAAATATGATAATATTTTATAGCAAAATCCATATGTATTCCATAGCAATACGACAATACTTATGGAATTACCACGAAAATAAGGTCGTAACATAAACGCTTGTGGGTAAATAATACCGAAGGCTTATTTCCAAAGGTAATTTACCGATTGAATACCTATGAAGAGATATAACGACAGATTTCCTACGGATTATTGACGGCTCAAATTTACCTATAGAAAGAAATAACGACGGATCTCCTACGGATTATCAATGGGACCGTTTTGGATCACATTGACTTTGTTACCTAAGGGTTTCTGACGGAAAAATTTACCAAGGGATTTTGCGTAGGTATACTGTGACTAAAATGAGTCAAAAGTTTTTTAAGAAAAAGTCATATTATTTAGATTGTTAAAGTTTGAGTGAAATTCATAACTTTTTCATAAGAACTCTGTTTTCGACTATCTTTATATCGACATGTTCATATTCACGAGATCTTCAACACTCATTTAGATTGTTTCGGCCAACAGTCAACCGATTTTGATTTGGTTTCTTTGTCCGTACTATTGTGCTGAAACATCGAAAAAGCAAAACTTTCTTATACGAATTCAAATTTTGAGGTTCTCCACATGTACGCTCTCGGTCTTAAGATTACTATGAAATTCAGTTGGATCACTAAGGCTAATAAGTAATCTATCTCTAATTCGAATTTTACGATGCACATAGTTTTGTCATTTTAATTGCGAATCTTCGCAGAAGCATAATTTCTTCATACGATCTCGGATTCGGGCGGTCTATATATTTACAGAAATCGTATTGATGTTTCCTACATATTTATGACGATTACTTTGGATAAAACGTAATATACTCTACTTCAAATTTTATAAACAACGTTTATATTGAATTTTACGAGAAGGTGAAAATGGGGTGTTACAATTGATATATTATGTGGGGAGTTAAGGGTGGACCATCCTCATGCTGAAGACCAACAGAATCGGGCGGACCATCTTCATGATGAAGGCCAAACTGCGGATCAGGTTTACATTGTAGGCAAAAAGGGGCGGACCAACTTTGTGATGAAGGCCAAGGGCTGACCAACTTTTTGTTGAAGGTCATTATGTGTATGCAGTATGTATTATGGTATATGGTATTTTGGGAAACACACTAGGGCTAATAAGTAATCTATCTCTAATTCGAATTTTACGATGCACAAAGTTGTGTCGGTTTAATCGCGAAACTTCGAAGTAACTTCTTCATACGAAGTCAGATTTGGGCGTTCTATATATTTACGGAAATCGTATTAATGTTTCCTGCATGTTTATGAAGATTACTTTGGATAAAACTTAATATACTCTGCTTCAAATTTGATAAACAACGTTTATATTGAATTCTACGAGAAGGTGAAAATGAGGTGTTACAATTGATATATTATGTGGGGAGTTGAGGGCAGACCATCCTCGTGTTGAAGACCAATAGAATCAGGCGGACCATCTTCATGCTGAAGGCCAACGTGCGAACCAGCTTTACATCGTAGGCAAAAAGGGGCGGACCAGCTTCATGCTGAAGGCCAAAGGCGTACCAACTTTATGTTAAAGGTCATTATTTGTATGCATGGTATGTGTATTGTGGTATATGATATTTTCGAAAACTCACTAAGCTTCGTGCTCACCTGTTGAATATAAATGTGTTTTCGAAAATTTCAAATGAATCGTAAAAAGAGCAAGGCTCAGCTGTACATGCACATTCACATCATGTGTCTGCACAATATAATAATACTCTGATATATTTTAATAAATGAAAATGGAAATTTTGGGTCGGAAATCGGGATGTTATCAGTTGGTATCAAAATCCTGATTTGAGAGAATTGGATGAACATTTGTGTGTTTCCAAACTCAAACCGAGGATCTAAATATCTTAACAAATATTTTTAGAAAAAGAACTTTATTCAAAAGAAAAGAATGTGATGTGTACAGTCAGCCGAAGCTCAAAAAAGAAAATGTTTTGGTAGCACCGTGTAACATCACGACTCCAGACATAAGTTTAAATGTTTAATATGTTCATTTTGATAACACAACTCGACGATTAGGAGGCCTCAACTCGTCGAGTAGAGACTGAGATTGGGCGCATGATTTTAGAACCAACTCGACGAGTTGGTGGACTTAACTCGATGAGTTGGAGCTGAGTGTGAAAACCCTAATTTTTAGGGTTTACACCCTATTTAAAGGACTTTAAGTCCTTTACCCCGCCTCTTTCATCACCTTATCACCCAGAGACAAACCCTAATCTAGTTCCCTTCATCTTGAGAGTATGTTAAGGCTAAGAGTGTATGTTTTGTTGCATTCCTTGAAGATTGATGTAACACCCATAAAATTCTAGCCAATTTAAAACTTTTTAAATCATTTGAAACCCTTCAATTATTACAATTTGTTTTCATAATAGATTGTACATCAGAGTTCCCATAAATCATAATCGTCAATCGAGGATGTGTACGGTCACGCCTTCACTTACCCGCGACCATCCGTTGAACCTGAAACAATAACTGAAACTGTAAGCCCGAAAGCTTAGTGAGTTACCCCCAAAATTCCAACCTCATATAACCATAATCGTAATCATACCATAATAAAAAATACAGAACAACGTGCATAATGAGCCTTCAGCCTGACTGGATCGCTCCCGAGCCTTCGGCATGACTGGACTGCCTCGTAGGGCCTTCAGCCTATCTAGACTGCTCACCGGGTATGTTGGCCTACAACACAAAGCAGGACTGTCTCAACCCAAACCCCAACCAAACAAACATGTGCACATGAGTATCATACTCTAGTTCATATCATATAACAGTCAAACCGATCTAACATATCACTAATCATAGCAACATCCTAATAACCGAGGTACAGACCTAACTGGTCCCTAGCATAGCATCATCCTATATACAAGGATACCATGACCATTTAGCTAAACGAAAGTCGTGAGAATTTAGCTCATGATTTCAGCATACAAGTATATAAAAATCAAAATTCAAAGTAATTGACATGGGAAAATCTAATGAAAAGTTGAAGTGTAGAGATTTGTTGCCTTAATGCTTCTACTTCCAATGGTATGATCGATTTACATGCTTCCAAGCCTTAGAACAGGTTCTTTGCCTTCAAACGTGATGATTACTTCCAGAGCCAAAGGTTACAATTTAGAGGAGAATGAGATCTATTTATAGTTTTCCCAAATTCAGAGCACCATGACGTGGTAAGGCCACCACATCATGGTCTTCGTGTTTATCATGTGTTTAACAAGTCTTCGAAGAAAATCGGGACTCTCAACTTCACAATGTTGTGGGAAATCCACCACGGCGTGTTGGATATTTTTTTTCTTCATTTTAAAGCTTTGATTCAAACTCCCAACTCCTATGTCCAACTTCCAGCTTCCAGCTTCCTGCTTCCTGCTTCCAGCTTCCTTTTTGCTCCAAGAATGTGTTTTATCCTTACATCACAATTCATAACAAATTAAGTATCTTTTGTTCTACTAAGGGAATAAAAGTAATTAAAATATTAAGTTATGATATATAGTTATGTGTATAAATATGCACATATCACCCATGTAGAGGCTTGGCCCCCAATTTGGAAAATTAGGCCATTGGTTGATTAATTTGGCTTTTGGGATTTTCAGATTATAGTTTGGGCCATAGTACTGGAGAAAGCTAGGTTAGGGGTAAAATGGCTTTTTACCCCAGGTATGAAGTTATAAATGTGGATTAGAACCCAATTGTTAATTGGTATTGTTTTTTTATTGGTAGATTAAGGTTCTATCAGCCAGCAGTCAATTGACTATATCCATGGGTCAAAGGCACCAATGCCGACCCATTATGTGTTCTGTGGTATGATAGTTATTTCTGTGATATGTGGTATGCTATTTGACTCTGTGTTTCTTGCATGGAAGGCCCCCAGTGGGAGCCCGAGGCAGTTGGATGTCCAACCATATAGGGGGGGGGGTCATGTCATTCCAGGTCAAGAGCATAGGGGGAGCCAGTTTATGTTTTAGGTACTCCAGTTTTCAAATGGAAGAGCTTAGGATGATTGCAGAGCACACACGACATGTTCTCGTATTCTGTGAATTACTCTGGTTAAATGATGTTTTGCTAAATATTGGTTACCCGGGTTTTATGGAAGAAATCTGTATTAACAATTTATTAATCTAAAAAAAAATTATGTCGTGATTTCTGGGTTGTTACAGGACAAATCAAGGTCTAAGCTTGCTTCTTTACGAGTTGAGATGCCTTAAAACATCTGAAAAGACACGTTGAAGGCTTAGGAGTACCACATACTCATTAAACCCTTAAATTTAGGGACAAAAGGATTAAAACAAGACTTAACTAAGATCTAAAGAAACACAAGCCATGTTTGGAGCTTTATACCTCCAAATGGTGCCAAAATGAGTAGGAGATGCTAGACCCAAAATCTTGAGGGCAAATCTTTCTCCTTGAAGATCATTCTTCGTAACCAAGGAATCACACAATCACTCTAAAAAGCTCTAAATGCTCAAAATGAACTAGGGTTTGCAAAGAGTGTCAAACTTGGACTGGAGGCTGATGAAGGGGAAGGTCTTGGGGCCATAATGGGATTTAAATAAGTACATCTTCTCCGTCCTAAGTGTTTCCAACACTAACCTCATGTGTTGCTTATGATCTTCTTCGCTTCTGGAATAGACAAGTATGTCGTCAATGAACACGATGACAAACTTGTCCAGGAAAGGACGACACACCCAGTTCATCAGGTCCATGAACACAGCCGGTGCGTTGGTTAGACCGAAAGGCATCACTACGAACTCGTAGTGTCCATTTCGTGTCCTGAATGCCATTTTGGAAACATCATTCTCGTGGAATCGAAGTTGATGGTACC